TAAGTATTGATGAAAGACAACAAACTTGTTGTGAAGATCTATCACACTTAGATATTCCATTTAGTAATCTTTGTGATTTGGTTAGACAAACGCCATAAATGGCTATGAGTGTAGAAGAAATAGAAGTTAAGATAAATGAAGTGATGTTAGTGGTATTAACAAATCAGTCATAGTGTTAGTGATCAGAAAAATGAGAGAATTAGAAAATATGAAGAAAGGGGTTTAGAAGAGAAAAAGGGGGAAAATGTGGTCAGTTTTAAATCAACATTTGTCAAATTCAGTGTCAATAAAGATGAATTAACACATTTCAACAATTCACTTGTTTGTAATAACACTCAATAAACATTTGAGTCGTTTATTATGAAATTCAATAACTATTTTCTATTTACTATAGACACAATTAGTAAATTAGTTGGTTTGAAGATATCTGAAGTTCATAAATTTATAGAGAGTTTAAGAAAAGACCATTTAAATGTGAATGAATATAACAAATAAGATAAAAATGATATAAAATAATACAAGAATAATAAATAATAAGAAAGAATTAATCAAAAAGAAATAGATTACAAAAATGTAATGATTCTTTTATACAACAAGTTCTACAAGAAGATAAAGAAGAGAAAGAAATTAATTATATTTCAAATGATGAGTGGTATATCAAATGTGATAAATGTAATGATAAATTAAAAGATAAAAGATAAGATATACAAATCATATCAAGCATAACACATCTAAATGTTATTTAATTTAATTCATTCCAAAATTAATAGTTCGATTAATTTTTGTTCAACTTGAATTTAGAAGAATTAATGATGACATTTATTAATATTTTAAAAGAAGTTGTATTGAATCAAATAATAAATAAATCATTTTTACATAATGAAGAATTGCTGTGAGTTTTTACACTTCTTTATTTTCAAAATCACAACAAATAACAAGTGAAGAATTATAATTTAATAAAGAAATATAGTTATACAGATGATTGAATTCAGAAAATTGAAGACATGAAGAAAAACAGATAAAAAAGAGTTAAATAAACAAAACAACAGTAATTATTATCTTCTTAACAAGAAATAATTAAAAAGTCAAGAAATAAACATATTGAACATAACAAATTAACAATAATAAATACAGATAGACCAATTATTAGAAAAGAAGAAATAAAATAAAATAAAATATAAATGAATAGAAATGGAATAAAAGATAAAAAATAAGAAATAATAGATATATCCATAATTGATATTATGATTATTGAGAAGTGATTGTTTCAGTTTCTTCAATATGCTCTATTTCTACAATAGAGTTCAATTCTAACATATGAGAATTAGAAGGTTCCTCTTCTAATGTGTTGCCAGTGTTGAATGTGTAGAACATTAAGTCTTTCATGTTTTTTATAATGATTGTTCGTAGTATTTTGTGGAAGTTGATTTGTAATTTTAGTGTTTTTAATCTTCTTACTGTTTCTTTATGTATCAACCCATTGATTGTTAATATTACAGGTATTATTTCTACATAAATTAATTCTCTACTTTGTATTAATTTCTCTTGTAGTTCTTTGTATTTATTTATTTTGTAAATATAATTTAATTCAATGTTTCTATCTTGACATATATCAATATCATTAATATATCAATTTTTTCATTGATGATTTGATAATATATATCTGGTATTCTAACATTAAAAGAATTGTCACTAACCAATAAATCATTATTGTAAGTTATAACCATTTCATTATTATTAATACACTTAGGAGGGGGCATTAAAATCTATTTCATCAAATTCATTAAAATATGTAATTAATATATGTTTATATATTTGTTTACATACATAATCGTGTTTTAATATTTGATTCTTCTTCATTACATCCTAACAATATATGGCTAATAGATGGAATTGTGATAGGACAATGTTTACAATATTTTAATATATCAATATGAAGTATTTTAGATTTAATATTTCCTGTCATAATTACTCCTTCTTGTATCTTTACTAATTTGAGGAAAGCATTCTTTTTATATTTAATGACCTCCATGTGGTTACTGATAATTTCATATTATTAAATATACAATTTATATTTCTTATATATTCACTTCATTTCTTTCAATTCATTTAAATATCTTTCATTTATTTTATTTGTTACCCATTCAAATACTTTGTTTACATCATGTTTTATTTCATTTATTTGTATTATATTCATTAATTGAAATTAATATTCTTACAAAATGCCCTCTTCATTCTTTTAATTATTCCATTTGGATTCTCTTTTACTGCCTCTATCATTTCTTTTATTTCTGTATTTGATATTTATATTTTAAATATATTCTTATTATTTCATTACAACATTCATCTCATGCTGACAGTAATCACATTCATAATTCATTTATTGTAACATATAATCTACTTTTATTGATGTTTCTACTGTATAGTTTGAGTTGTATCAATGATTTTCTTATTTGTTTATCTATATTCTCCAACTCACCAAGTTTCCATTTGATAATACAGAATCCATATCTTAATTTTGAGATTATATCGCTATTAATCTTTCTAATTGTATTGATGCTACTATATTTCATAATATTTAATGATGATAGAATAGAAGATACATCATTTAATAATCATGTACAATATTTATTAATATTTATTTTATCTCTTATTTCAATACCAAGATATTTATAAGGGTTATCATTAGTTACTCTTGGTAATTCAGCTAATTCTCCAATTATTTGACAATTGATATTATTCATTATCCCACTCTTTTCTACTTTTATTTTTAGTCCTATTGCATTAAATATTTCTTTTGTTAATTTGTGGGATTTTTTAATTTCATTGATGTTGTTAGTTATTATCTTTAAATCGTCCATATATAATATGTGGTTTAACTGGACTTGTTTTTCTTCTCAATTCATTTTAATAGATAACTTATTAATTTGTTTATCTAATTGTTTAGATAATATATCAATAAATAATACAAATAATAATTTAGATAAACTATCACCTTGTATTATTCATCTTTCTACATTAATTATACCTACATTTTGTTGATTATAATATAATTGGAGTTGTGTATTATTTAATATATATAATATACTTTTAATTACAACTAATGTGATGTTAAAATAAATTAAACATTGTTTAACAAATTGATGATTAATACTATCATATGCTTTAGAGACATCATAATATGTTTCTACCCACTTCCATTTAGCCTTGATTAATAACTGTTGGATTATAGTATTGTATAATAATCATTCTTTTGAGCATATGTATATTTTTTACATCCAATTTGGTTTTGTGATAGTTGTTTTTCAATTTGATTTAGTATCAGTTGGCTTTCTATCTTCATCTTTAATAAAGATGTGTATACTTTTAACAGACAGTTTAAACAAGTTATTGGTCTGTAATTTTGTTTATATAATTTATCTCATT